GTATCAGTATCAATTATTCATGGATGTTAATCGATGAGATCATTAAGAAAGGCATGGCAATGTAACAACAAACACACGATTTTAAGTTAAAAAAGCTCTATGCTATTTCTGACTCAAACGGCCATCGAGTTCTTTTCCGTGCAGTTGAAGACAATACAGACCTTCTGGTAGGTCTGGTTATTGGGAGTACGTGGGTCCTTCGTGATGATATTATTTGAGTCAAAATCCCCCTTTGTGTGTGCGTCACACCTCATCGTAATGAATTCAATAATAATGACTTTGTTTTTACCGAATGATTTAATACCTAATTGAATCGTGATACACGATCGTGATGAATTTAATAATAATTACTTTATTTACCAAACCGAATGATTTCATTGATTATCATACATAGGTACTCAAATAAATCCAGTTTTGTCATAATGAATATGAAAGAGGTTGTGTATAGACATCCGACAATCCATCAGTTGAACGATAATTTCTGGTACCTGAATACTATACAGGGTGTTCATCTGCTTTGTATGTGGTCAAACGTCAAGAGTAGATTCTTCAAGTGATTTCAAGTCGATAAGTTCAGTTAACACATGTTTACACCAACCTTCAGTTGACTAACCTTACCAACTTTTGTTTTGATTTGATTATTTTTTGAGGTTAGGCTGTGGAACTCCACTTGAATTCGTGAATTAAGGATAAAACCTTTCAGTAGGATTGGAAATTAGCTAAAATTGGATGGAATATTGTTATGAAGACTCATGAAATAACTACCACTTGCACTCAAGTCAAGACAATGCTATACAAAAGTAGACCAAAGTGTTTACATTGTCTTGGTCATCATACTATCTTAGTCTGCTACGTAACAAATTTCGGTAACAAGCTGGTAACTTTACCAAGTGTAAAGTTTATACCACACTGACCAAGAGTATTTATTTAAAATACAGTCATTAGTCACCAAGACACGGTATAAACGTCATAACACTGCCAAATTTCAGCGTAATCGGCTGAAGATTCATTGAGATATTTTCAAAAAAAGAATATTTGTCAAAGACAGTTTGACACTGTGTATCTTGAAAATGAAACATTGTTATATCATATTTTTCTCATCAATCACTAAAATGATTGCCCCTTGGAGTTTGGTCACATATTTGAATAACACCCTGTATAGTACTTTTCTCAACTTGGAACATTTTTCATCGAATACATCAATTATTCAAAATACCTCCTTCCTTTCAGATTCTTTTCATTTGAATTGATTATAAAAAGCACGGGGCGTTTTGGAATCTCAGTTTCACGATTATAGTTCTTCTGAAAAAATGATTGGAGGAAATGGTAAGTTATTTTCATTGAAATCTCATAAGTGATAATAATTGGGGATTATTTTCAGAAATGATATCAGAAGCAGTAGTGAGGACAATTTTACCTGAAAACTTAAGAGTTAGTATTTGAAGTGATCTAATTTTATGTGATTCTTGAATCTTGAATATGTTTTAGCAAATGGACATTATCATGATTATAGGGGAGGACGCCCGTGATTTTATGCCAACAGATGCAGTGGAGTTTGGGGTTTGTGGTGGACACCGACTATTTTATAAAATATTAATGGATTTCCTGATGGTGTTTTCAGTGATTTAGGTAAATAATTTAGAAAAATATCTTTGATTTATTAAATAATTATTTTTTTTTGTTACAGATACTTTGTTTTATAGATGATCAAAATACTCCTTCCTTTCAGATTCTTTTCATTCGAATTGATTATAAAAAGCACGGGGCGTTTTGGAATCTCAGTTTCACGATTATAGTTCTTCTGAAAAAATGATTGGAGGAAATGGTAAGTTATTTTCAATGAAATCTCATAAGTGATAATAATTGGGGATTATTTTCAGAAATGATATCAGAAGCAGTAGTGAGGACAATTTTACCTGAAAACTTAAGAGTTAGTATTTGAAGTGATCTAATTTTATGTGATTCTTGAATCTTGAATATGTTTTAGCAAATGGACATTATCATGATTATAGGGGAGGACGCCCGTGATTTTATGCCAACAGATGCAGTGGAGTTTGGGGTTTGTGGTGGACACCGACTATTTTATAAAATATTAATGGATTTCCTGATGGTGTTTTCAGTGATTTAGGTAAATAATTTCGAAAAATATCTTTGATTCACTGAATAATTATTTTTTTTGTTACAGATACTTTGTTCTATAGATGAAAATAAAAATTGTTAGTTGGTAAGGTTTTTTTTTTCACTTTCAATCATCATTCATTCTGTAGAGGAAATGTTCATGGTGTGGTTCAACGGACTTGAAGCAACATTGATTTTAATGTGATGAAGCATTCATGATCAGATATCAGTAGTTGGGAATATTTCTGCATAGTGTTAGTAGCTTGTGTTCAGTGGCTGTTTGTGTTTCCAGTGGTCTGTTGTGAATCTAAAGCAAGTTGACTAAATTGGGTGAGTTAATTTATCTTATCTAAATGTTGTTGGAATCATTTCTTCATAATTAATTGGAAATTAGAGGTGTTTTATAATATGTGGTTGGTGTCTCAAAAAGTTTCCATAGTTCATAGATGGCTTGTCTCCTTAGTGGCACCGCGTGAAATCATCTGTCGTTGAAACGAATATCACTTTCGAAGATTACGTCAAATGTCTGGAAACTCATGAGCAGAAAACAGTTTCACAAAATTTCATCAGAGCACAAAAATATACTGTATTTTCAACCACACAACAGAAGATAGCGTTGAGCGCAAATGATGATAAACGCTACTTGATTCCTGGTACTCATGAAACTCTCCCATTGGGACATTATTCTATTCCATCAACAAGTATGTTGGATAATGATGTAATAGAAATGAATTAGTTTGAATGTATATATTATGTAAAGAAATAAATTATTTGAAATTTATGCTTTGCACTCCCCTCCCACCCTTCCTCACCACGAATCTAAGAATGAGTAAGATCAAGAAATATATCTATCACAAATTAATTATTAATCAAGTGGTTGCAGTGGGCCTCCTGGGGAAGCTTCCCACTTTCAAAAAAGAAGCAACGCGCCATAGCTCTACCTCCTGGTGGTGTGGAAATGGGCTGCGATTTCTATACTCCCAATAATCCTGCTAGTATGATAGCTTCCATTGGTTTCTGTTTCAATGATGAATTGATTTCGCAAGCTATTTATCCAACTTGTATTATATAGATGTGATAGATTTTTGGAAAACTGAAAAGTAGAGGTGTTTCGTTTTCATTTCCACCCCTCTCCTACCCTCTTGTCTGAATAATAGAAATTCCAAACAAGAGCTTACGAATGAATTTTTGGAAGATTTCTTCCTTGAAACAGATTTGAAATAGCTTCCTGATCAGTTTGATTTTGTAGCATCCATTTTCACCCCTCTCCTACCCTCTTGTCTTAACACTAACTTGCTGAACAGAATGAACTACGTGCGATCATAGACAAACACCTGAAATCACGATTTGGAATTATTACGTAAATATCAATGCGATCATGGAGGTCTGGAGCACTTGTTATTGAACTGCATAGTGGCCATGGTATTATGTTAATCGATGATCGAGCGTGATAAACAAACACACCTAGCAAATTATTATTGAATTCATTACACTGATGAGATCATGGCATAGGAAACGTAAACAGGGTGATTTCTAACTCAAAATAATATCAGCCCAAATTACCAAAAATCTGAGGACCAGGCACACTGAAAAACATTCCGAGGTATGCGTCAGGGTTCTTCAGTTCACCTACCAGAAGGTCTGCAACGTCTTCGACAGATTTTAAACATTACAAGACGAGTATCCATAATCTTTTGGATCGCACGAAGGATAATCCTTTCGAACGAGAACTTATTACTATTACTATATCGTTCGCACGGAAGGTAGTCCACCCACCTCAGCACCTTACGTCACCCACCTAACCCCTAGCACCGTTGGTGAACACGCAAAATCAGTTAGCTCACTAAAATTTTCCATTCGGCACACCCTATTATGTATCTATCTTGTTATTGTAGATATGTATTCCCGTCACCAGCTTGCAGGAAGTTCACTCGTCGGAAACCTTGGAAGAGAGCCATTTTTGCTACTTTGAACCTTAAAATTCATGGAAAAAAGTCCGTAGATCTGGGGAAAATCTGCATTATCTGTCTCTCTCTAACACATGGGCTCTTATAGGGCTTTCCTCCATGCAACACTCTAATTTCCGTAGAATCTGGGGAAAAATGACTTAGAATTTAGATGATTGCGGGGGAATCGGTGTAGGTCAGTTACTGATGTATTCATCAATTCACTTTTTCTACTTCTTTCTAGTTTGGCTCTCAATAAAAGGATGTTCCTTCAATTTTTCAAATTACTATCACTTTTTTATCTTTTAGTTTGGCTAACTACAGAACCGTGTTTTTCATTGTTCTCCTATTTTTGAGTGTCCCCAATTTTGACGAATGAATCATAATATCGGACCTCGTTAATTTCCAGATACCAACTTTGAATAAAATCGGATCATATAATTTCAAAACTCGTTCACCATACTGGATTCGCCATCTTGAATTGTCCAATTTTGACGAAAGAATCATAATCCCCATCCCCCAAAACCCCCAAATACAAATTTTGAGTAGAATCGGATCTTAATTACAAAATTCGTCCGCCATATTGTATCCGTCATCTTGAATCTTCAAATTTCGACCCCGAGATACAAATTTCGAATGCCTATAGGAGGCAGTTTGGCGTTTAAAAAAATACGAAAAAACGATTTTATTCTTCTGAAAGAACTACCTATTGCATAGATTTCGGGAGGATGTAATCCAATTTTCTGCGTGGCATATTGCCAGGAAATTAGCTGTTTTTCTCCCGTTATCTACTATGTTTCCGTTCATTTTATAAACTATTGTGGTAATATTTTTGAGTTTCTTTCTTTTGTGACCATTGTATTTCACTTTGGGTATTTGGCTTTTTCCTAGTCAATAAAAGGGTGTTAGAAAAAAAAACTGATCGCGAGAGCTTACCCCTCGAGCGTCGTTCTCCCGACGTGGCCCAAGAAGGTGCTGTCGTCCTGTACGTCGTAGATGCCCGCCACGTACGTCGCTGCCTCCGCGCCGTTGCCAAACGTTTCCTGGTGCCTCATCACCAAATGGGCCTTGAAGTCCTTGGCGAAGTTTGTCTGGAACGGGGTCGTATCTGCATCGTCGCCGGCGCAAAACTTGCACTCGTAAATGCACTTGCCCGGATGTTTGTTCGTGGACAAGATGTGCTTCCGTAAATTTTCCTGTAGAAATAAAAATGAAAAGCTCAGATTCATTTCCACACAATGTTTATGAAATAAACAACAATGGTAGATTTCAGAAGAAATACCACTACTTTCCTGCCCTAGAATAACACAAGATGTCCATTGGATATCTGTATTGTGTCTATTATATGTCCAAGGTGTCCGGTGTCCATGGACACAATCGGGACAACAATAGGATTTCCAAATGAAGATATCCATTGGATGAGGTGAAGTTATCCATATGGTGTCCATTCCAATGCCTCTTATGATAATGTTACTTAACATCACCGTCTCGGGTATCATCGGCGTCGTTCGGCTCCTTCGGTGACCACAGGCCGACAGGATCAGCCGTGTCAGAGTTCAGAGTAGTAATGCCGTTCACCATTGTTATTGTTGTTAACGTTGATGCATTGTCTGAGGGTACTGAGACTGATAATCTCATCATTTTCAGAAATATGAATGTATAGCGTCCTGAAGATTTTTGCATGTTCGAACTTGTATTATAAATAAATAATAAATAAATAAGAACTTTATTGGACATATCAAACGTATACAAAAAAAAAAGGTTTTCCCAAAGTTCGATAAAAACGATAAGTACCTATTGGTACTTGTTTCGTTATACAAAATGGAATTACAACATTGAATAAATATATGAAAAAAACAAAGTAAGTATATAAGTATAAATAAGATATGTTGAAGATAAAAATAAGATAGGTTGAAGATAAAAAGACACAGCAATACGAATACATTCCAGATTAAAATAGTGATGATTATTTAAAAATATAAATTACCCTAATAATAAAATTTTGTTCATTCAGCTGTATCTATGGCATATTTGACAGTCATTCAAATATACGATGAACTTCGATTCTTTGTGTTTTGAGTAGATATTTTTTCATTTCCTTTTTGAAACGAGTAATATGTTTTATAGATTTTATTGTTTCTGGTATAGACGATAATTCGTGATTTCATATTTGTCTCCTGTTTTGAAGAGTGGTATCACGATTGCCTTTTTGAATTCATCGGGATATACACCAAGTTCTGCACATTTATTGAATATGTAGGTCAATGGGGATAGAATATATTTTGAGATTAGTTTCAAATGTTCCGCTTTTAAATCGTCATATCCCACGGACTTATTGTTTTTGAGTTCCGAGATTGTGTTTTTAATTTCTATTGGATCAGTTGGCTCGAAAACGAATGAGTTTGAGATAGATACTCTCGTCCCTGTGACATTTTTGTTGTTTTTCTTTATTGCACTAGCTAGCTTTCTTCCTGTTTTTGAAAAGGTTTCATTGAATACATTTGCTATTTGTGTTTTATCAAATAACATTTCAGATGTCTCTGGGTGTCTGATTTGATCTATGCTGTGTTTTATTTTTTTAGTTTTCGATATTTGTTGAGTGATATCCCATAGTTTTTTTGAGTTACCCACATTGCTGTCAATTTGTTTCTTATAGAAATTGAATTTTGTTTTATTAATAGCAGAAGTCAGCTTGTTTCGATACCTTTTATATTCTGTTTTCAATTCGTCATCGTTGGGATATTTTTGAATTCTGCGAAACATTGTGTTTTTTTTATTAATTGAATTCAATATACCATTCGTAACCCAAGGTGCTATTTTGGTGTTTCTTCTGCGTATCTGATGTCTCTCTGTGCATGCATTTATTCCATTGATTACAATTTTGATAAACCTTTTTGTCGCAGAGTTTGGATTTGGTGCAGAATATACTTCATCCCAAATAATATTGTTAAAGTTGTCATGTAACATCTTTTCATTAATACTTTTCCTAAATCTATAATTATTATCTTTATTCATTGATCTTTCAACTGACATTATTTGAAGTATAGTGGTGTAGTGGTCTGTTATAGTTGTCTTCAAAACAATGGGTATAATTGTCTCATTCAGGTCAGGTTTTTTGGATTTGATGAAAATATGATCCAGGCAAGTTTTACTATTACTTTGTACTCGAGTGGGTTCATTGATTGTGGAGATGTACCCAAACTCATTCAATGTATTCAAATATACCACGGTGTCATTGTCATCAGGTTTCAACAAATCAATATTGATATCGCCCAAAAACAAAGATATATCAATGTTATTATCATCATTATTATTATTTTCATAGTCTTCAAGAAATGTATATAAATTTTTATTGAAGTCTTGTACACTGGAATTCGGTGATCTATACAATGTTGTGATGAGTAGTGTACTTTTCACGCCTAGACCAAGTTTGATTTGAAGAGCTTTCATTTCTTTCGATATTTCTACCGTTTTGAATGTGAATGCAATATTTGATTTTATATATGCGACCACTCCATCATTCTGATTATAATGACTTTCATTATATATCATATTATAACCATCAATATGAAAAATGCTCTGATCAACTACATCTCTTGTTTCGCTTAGTATCAGACAATCAAAGTTGGAGTTCAAATTTTGCAGCATAACCAAAAATTCGTCTAGGTTTCTATTTATACTACGAATATTCATTTGCATTATTTTAAAATTATCATGGCTCTTATTTACATCCAAAATTTGTTGGCATTCTTCAGTTGTATCTATACTATATGTCTCAATAGAATCTATTTTGAAGTCCCTAATATATTGATCCATTAACACTTGCGCAATATATTTATAAAAAGGAAACTATTTATTTTGCACCTGACGTAGACCGTGTTCTGCCTTTTTCAGCCAGTGTCTTGGTATTTTTTCCAATGCCTTCTTCTTCTTTTTTCTTGGTGGTGTTATTCTGCGCCGGTATAATCTTGGACTTGCTTCCTGTTACCAGAGGCTCTACTGTGGGTCGCACTGGAGTTCCAGGTTCACTTTGTGTTGGTTGTTTGTTTTCACTTGCTTCTTCTAGTTCCTCTATTGAGTAAGTTTTGTTGCCAACGTGTAGCTTACTATTTTTGATGACATTATTGTAATAATATGTTCCTCAATATATGTGTGTGAATGGCGTCGACACTCGCTTGTGTTTTACCGTTATGCAATTTCGGTCGAAGAATAACTACACCTTTTTCAATTGTAATTCAGAAAGTGTAACTTGTAATTCAGATTAGTTAATTGTAATTCAGAAAGCGTCAATTGTAATTCAGATTAGTCAATTGTAATTCAGAATGCATAACATGAAATTCAGATTAGTGAAATGTAATTCAGAAAGTGTAACTTGTAATTCAGAATAGTCAATTGTAATTCATAAAGCGTAATTTGTAATTCAGAAAGCATCGCTTGTTATTCATAAATACTATGGACTTAAATAAGCGTAGGGAATAGAAATGAAAGAATGGTGTGTGGTGAACATCAATATTTTGAATTTATCGACCAACGGGCATATCTTGAAATGCCAGAGCTGCAGCGTGGTGAATGGTGGTGTGTTGTGCAGCCCTAGCACAATCACCTTAAACAATAATTGTTTAAGGTGATTGTGATACAATTATTGTATCTTTGGGCCTGGTCAATATTCTGTTCAAGATGAACAAGTCGTTGTTTTCAAGGAGAATGGATGCATACGGGTTGTTCCTAGTTTCAGAAACATAGTGATACTTTCTGAATTACAAGTTATGCTTTCTGAATTACAATTGACGGTTTCTGGATTACATTTCACTATTCTGAATTACAAGTTACACTTTCTGAATTACATTTCACTAATCTGAATTACATATAACGCTTACTGAATTACAATTGACTAATCTGAATTTCAAGTTATAGGTACTTTCTGAATTACGATTAACTATTCTGAATTACAACTTATATTTTCTGAATTACATCTTATACTTTCTGAATTACAATTGAAAAAGGTGTAGATCACTTGAAGTGAAGAGCCATTCCAGGATGTGTTGATGAAGATATCGAAGAATTTCACCTAGTAGAACGGATCTGAAATTGATTGCCTATTGTGTCAAATCAATCGAAATAAAATGATGAAATAAGATGTCTATAGAAACAACATACCACACCAATCTGATATAGAATATTGTAGTACCTATAGTGTTCGCTTGAATATAATCACATTTGAAATGAATATAACAACCAGAAACATAGATTCTATTCATTGACCAGATCTTATTTTTATAATAATAATAATAATAAAAGTGCTTTATTGAACATAAATACAAAATGTTCAAAAGGCTATTGACCGAAGTCCTTCTGCCCAGTGAATTATAATAATATTATGGGATATGATCATTGCATGTTGAAATGAGGGTTATTGATAATTAAGATACATAAACAAAAAAAAAAAAAAAATCATTGATTGAAAACTTATTGTATGGTGCCTACGTTCTTCATTCCTCTTGCAAGTCGGTCAAGCACTCATAAACGGTTCGAGCTGGGTAAACGTATCTTTGTCGGTGGTTTTGGTTCCTTTTGATTATCATTGGTTCTATCAACTCCATGTTACATTGTTTGTGGGTAAACTTTTGGGTGAGACAGGATATTCTTTCTGATATGGGTTGTGTGGCTGTCACTTCGTATAGGAGCTCGTTCGACGGATTGTGAAGAGGGTTTCTAGGGTGTCTGATTTTGGTGATGGTTCGAAGACTTGATGTTTCCGCAACTTCCAGGTTCCTTATAGCTGGTCTTCTGCAGTTGGTATATATGGGGTGAGCATATTCTAAAATGGGTCGACAAATAGTTTTGTAGATGTGGGATGCTGTTTTCACATTGATTCCTTTTTTTTTGGTGATCAGATTTTTGAAATGTTTTGCCCTTTGTATGCATTTTTTCTTTATACTTTTCGTGTGATGGTTGAAGTTGAGTTTATGATCTAATTGAACACCAAGATATTTCGCTGTTGTTGAACATCTGATAGTCTGGTTGTTTACTATAATTGAGGGCGAGTCATCATTTGGCGAGTGATTTAAAATGATCAGTTGAGACTTCTGAGGATTGGGCTTAAGCCTCCATTTGTCGAACCATCCCTGAGTCCTGTGCATTTCAATTTGTAGCTCTTCAATTGTTTTTTGTAGAGAATTGTGGTGGCTCACAAGTG